CGGCCCCGGGCGCGCGCGCCCCCCCCCCCCCCGGCCCGCCCGCCCGGCCCCCCCCCCCCCCCCCCCCCCCCCCGCCCCCCCCCCCCCCGCCCCCCCCCCCGCCCGAGCTAAACCTATCCGGCCTATGAGTTAGCTGGGCACGACTTAGGTAGGAACGGGGTCGAGATACAGGTAGTATGTACTACACTAGTAGTGTCTTACCTAATCCAGTAAGATCTACATAGTACACGTAAAAAACACCACCGGAATTCCTTCACACTTCACACTCTTTCTTCAAGTCTACAGCGTAGAGATTTTCTAACTAAACCTTGCTCCGCTCCATTATACTAATGTATTATTGTTATTGTTGTTAATCTACCATTGAGTTGTAGCTAGTAGTTTTGCAGTAGTCACATTATTAGTCTTACCTATAACCCTGACATTGCCGAAGCCAAAAAATCAGCCCTGGGTTCAAAAGATAATCCCTCCCATCATCTCGCAAACCCCCTTCCTCTTTCCCCCTACCCCCCTCCTTTTCCCAGAGCGTCGAATGTCCAATGCCGCTCCGCCACATCGCTATCCCCTCGTGGCCCCGGGCCACGCTGCCTAGGTACCCGACGTATTCCCTGGCAACCCGCGTCCAGTCGAAGCTGCAGCAGGACCTACTGGCCTGGAAGGCCCTGCGAGACGAGCACAGCGACCCACGGCGACGACGGTATGCCCCGCCTCCGCCTCCCACCCTTATCTCCTTTACTCCGGCGCCTACGTACACTCTTGGCAGGCGACAGACCGAGCCGCTATCCGCCTCCGAGCTCGCCCGCCTGCGCGCCCCTCTCTCCGTATCCTTGCCCTCTCGCAACGATGAATCCATTACCACCGCCGTCTTCGTGCCCGAGGTCCTACACGCTCCCCGCGGCGGGCTAGCCACCTACCACGGCCCGGGGCAGGCCGTCATCTGGCCAGTCATAGATCTACGGTCGCCTCTGCACGCCAACTTCACCGTGCGCGACTACACCTGCCTGCTGGAGAAGACTACCATTGCGACCCTGCTCCGCGTGTACGGTCTCGCCGGGTTCACGACCTCGAACCCCGGGGTGTGGGTGCGCAAGGACAACGACCCGTCGCGGGACGAGGAGAAGATCTCCGCGCTGGGCGTTCACCTCCGGCGGCACGTCGCGGGTCTCGGTGTCGCGATCAACGTGGGTGTATCCGTTACCGGACCCGAGGCGACGAACCCGTGGGCGCGTATCGTGGCGTGCGGATTGGGGGATCGGGGCGTCACTAGCGTTGCCGCACAATTGGGCCTGCTGCCTACCCACGAGATCGCACCCGAGGATATCGCGGCTGCGTGGGCTGCCGAATTTGCCGAGAGGTTGGGGTTCCCCGGTGCTGCTGCTGTGGAGGAAGAGAGCTGGGAGCCGTGGGAGAAGGAATTGCAGCTCGAACCGGTGGGACCTGGCACAGATTCCGGGTTTGTCGAAGGCACAGTGATGTCATCTTGATTTATATTGCACGCTACTCGCCTCGAACCCCCTTGATACCTATTTATATGGCATATGTGATGTCTATTATAGCCTTCTAGCGCCATTCCTTCGAAGGCCGTATGTGATAATACGAGTCACGTGCTCGCATATTGAGCCAGACAGCGAGTGGTGAGGGTTCATCGTGGGGGGAGGGGGTTGATCTGTATGGACGTATATCACGGCATAAGTTCCACGAAGCAGGGCTGGCCACGCCTCCTCCAACCCAGCCTCAAAGTCCCCACGACAGGCCAAACGCCCCTCCCGATCGATCGATGCACGCGCTGGCGTATGTATATATATCTATCTACCTACCTCCTACCTAGGTATATATGCACATACACTACAGGGCCTAGCTGGGTAGACAATTATGCAATCACGATTGTCCACGGCTTCTCCCAGCCCCGGAAAAAAAGCCAGCCAGCCAGCCAGTAGCTAGGCCTACGTATACCCGACATTCCCCACCCCCAAGCACCAAGCCAACCTCCTCTCCTAAGCGCTCTAGGAACCGGACATCCGCTAGAAGCGCTTCGGTCGAGGAGCGGGCCGCGCGACGGATAGACCCGTTCCTATCTATCTATCTATTCTATCCATATATCTATCCGCTAGTCTTATACCTACATACCTACCTACCTAAACCTATGTCTGTATTTGAAGGAACCGCATTCATCATACGAACGAATCAATCGACGGAGAAAAAAACACGTCCTGGCGGCTTTTCATTATTAGGGATGCTGGGGATTTTATGCAGCGGTCCGCGGCCGATGTCGGCGCTGAGCAAGATGGAAAGGACAAGATGGCATGGGATAGGACATATGTCATGTCATGTATGTAGGATTTATGTATGTATGTATGTGTGTGCAAGTAAGTAAGTACTGTGCAAGAACCCGGACAGGACGGACTACTATGAGGTAGCAAGCAAGCAGGGCAAGGCAACCTAACATATATCTCTACCTACCTAGCCTATAGTATGGCTGGGTACCAAGCGGCAAAGTGCAGCCTTCTAATCAGAAGGCGACGTGGCTTACCGTTGTGGACTTGCTTTTGCTGCACTAAGAATTGGCTGCTACTGCTGCTGCTATTGCCTTAGCCAGCCAGCCAAGCAGCGTTGTAGAAATGAATTCCCAGGTAATCCAAGTTGCTTGCTAGGATCGAGGATGGGATGTGAAAATGTTCTCAGGCAGGACAGGGTCTAGCTTGCTACCTGCTCTTACCTAGTCCAAAGGGCCAATACGCAAATCAATCCTTGTCCTCCCGCTCGTTGGCTCGTGCTTCGATTCTAGAATTCAGGGTTAGGTACTGCAGCTGTGCAATCTGCAGCTAGGTATGTATGTACTTCCATACCGACTATTGGACTGCATTGACGAAATGTATACCTACCTCCTAGGTAGGCACTGCGAGAACTACATTACGAATTATCACGAATATCGTACCACAAACGTCAGATCAATAATCTCATATTAGTTTCTCTGCTGCTCAAACTTTATTAATTCATCTGCGTTCGGCCTCGCCGATTGCTTTCGAAGGGATTGCGGATATACGTGGAATTATATCCTATTTGTCCCTTTAGTCCGTATTACATACCAAACTCGTAAGCCTCTCGATTCTTGTATTAGGATATGCCAGATACTCCATCTCATTATTCGTGCCGGTGGTATAAAATGCTATCGGCCGCCAACACGGCCGCGCACCTCGCAGTCTTTCATTACCGAGTAACGCCGTGGGTGTCATAGACGGGATGTGTTGCCGCCCCCCCTCCCCCTCCCAAACGGAAGAATGCTCATGGGAATTCGGGGGGGGGGGGGGGGGGGGGGGGGGGAATAACCGCTCACCCCGTTTGTGTTTTTTTTTAACCGCCGAATGGGCGCGGGCCCGGTTTGCGCCGCGGCCCTTTCCAGGGGGTTTT